TATCTATCTATATATATATAGAGAGAGAGAGAGATGTAGATGTATGGATATATGGTCTGACCATTGTCCCTTTTGTATATCCAGTCTCTCAACACATACCCACATGCATACTCACACACACACCCACTCTGACACACACACACGCTTTCTGAGGCTTCTCTCTGTCTAAATACTAGCTGGTAGTAGTTATGGCTCTGCAGTGTTTGCTTAACAAGGTGGCCCTCCCACAGACAAGGCAATAGTAACAAGTGGACCTGAAACCACTTTGAAGCAGGCGAGGAGGGTGTAGAGAGCAGGCTGAAGAAGTCCCAGGTTCTGAAGGAAGGCACGAAGAAGGGCTGGGACACAAGGATTAAACGGGACCCCAGAGTGTGCAGAGAAGCCACACCTGGGAAAGGGGTTGGCCACAATTCTGTGTCTTATCTCAGGCTACCATGCAAAATACCACAGAATGCACAGCTTAAGCACAGACATTTATTTCTCACAGTTCTAGAGGCTGGAAATCTGAGATCAGACCAGGAAGTCTGAGAGCCCTCCTTCTGTTTCATAGGCCATCACCTTCCTGTGTCCTCCTATGACAGCGATGGAGAGCAGATGCTCTCTTCTTATGAGTGCACTAATCCCATCGTGAGGACACAACTCAGTGTCCTCAGTACCTGCCAAAGACCCCATCTCCAAATGCCATCATATTGGGAGTTAGCACTTCAAGGTCTGAATTTGGGAGAACACAAACATTTAGACCATAGGATTATGTCTTCAAAGCTGGGTGCCTGCATGCCCAGGCTCACCTTGACCAGCCCTCTGCACTTTTCAGAAGCCTCAGTGGTCTCTGTCCCCATATCCTGGCTGCTGACCCTGGTCACACGCCACTGAGCTGGTCATTCGGAGGAGCTACTTCAGGGTTTGAAGACTTCTAGGGCCTCCATCACAGGCCTCGGCCAGACTGCCCCTATGACAGACAGACAGACTCTCAAGGGCCTACATGGACAGCTTGGTCACCAAAAAATGAAAAAGAGAAAGATGAGGTTAGGAGCTGGAGTGGCGATTTCTGTGGGCCCAGGTGCGGAGCCCAAGCCTGGAGGGCCCTCTGGGAGATGGCAGATTCCTCCTCTGACTGCCCAGCCTCCCTGAGGGCAGGGGCTTTCCAGGCTTGCTCCCCCGTCTCTCTCCAGCATTTAGGACAATGCTTAATACTTTTTGGAAAGAACACATAAATGAATAAGCAAATTAATTCATCTTACAGCAGAATTTTTTTGAAGTGGGCTGGAGGGGGCACCTACATGTAATTACTTGGGGAGGCTTGTTAAAATTCAGAGCCCTGGAACTCCACTCAGAACTCTTGGTCAGAATCACTGGAGCTGAGGTCCAGAGCTCTGCATTTCTAAGGAAATTTGGAGGGATGTTTATACATGATAAAACTTGACAATCACTCTTCGAGAGCTTCATTTTTCACTCCTGAAAAGCACTTCCGTTTTCTCAAATAGTAAGAAATAAATAGCACATCATATTTGTCCTTTCTGCCCCGTTTGCCAGTAAGTGTGGAACTAAAAGTAAAGCTTGGTTGTATAATTTTCTTCGACCCAGGTTTCCTTACTCCTTCTAGGAACATTTCTTTCCCTGGCTAACTTGAACTCATCTTTCAGGACTTAGTTCGGGAGCCATCTCCACCAGGGAGCCTTCCCTGAAGAGTCCCCCTGCCCGAAGCTGGGCTAAGGGCCCTTCCTCCACCCGCACCCCAACAACACCCATCAGAAAATACCCAGAAGATCTGACAGCTTTGCCCCCACCTGACTGCCCCCTGTCTTAGTCATCTGGGCCTCCCACGCCTGCTAAAAGGAACTAAACTTCCTTCCACTGCTGTTTAGATTTTTATCAGATCATATCTTGGTAATTTTTTTTTTCTGAAGTCCCTTCAAGTATTTTTGAAGTAGGACATAATTCATTAATAAACCCACAGTCTCTGTACCAAAGTCCACTTCAGAATGATAAATGCACATCTGTAGTCCCAGGGCTTTTTCTTTTTCTTTGTCTTTCTTTCTAACTGGACTTTCCAGATTCACAGTTGCTAATAGCCTGGCCAGCTATCCTCAGACCTCAACACCAGTGAAACTAGAAAACACAAAGGCACAAAGGTTTGGGGGAAATAGCAAATTATAACAGAATTAGGAAAGATGCTGGCAGGAGAAACTCCCAGTGCCACAGTACACGGCTAGTGCCTGAAATAAGTGAGAGTTGAAAAGATCTGTATCAGGTAAGAAAGAGTGGTGAAGGGTGGGAGGTGATTATTTTTAAATTAAAATAACATATTTTTTTTATTATGGAAACAGTACATGTTTATTGTGAAAAAATTAAAAATACATATAAGCAAAACAAAATTACTCCATGGTTAAGTCCTTCCCAATCTTTTTGGTAAATTTGACTATAGACATAAAATTCACAGTTTGCACACTCAGGTATGGAAAAATGGTAACATAGCATCAGTGTTGAATTTCAGTCCTGGTAGTGGTAAACTGAATACGGTCACTTACACATACAACCAGTCAGGTGAGTGATTTCTCAGTTATTCAGGATTAACTTCAGTTATTTCAGGGTTCTCCCTTTCCACTCCCTCCATACCCCATTCTTCTCTGAGATTGCCTTGGGAATGAATGCCAGAGCTGGTAGGGAGGACTTTCTCTAAAATGCAACTCTGGTCCTTGGGCCCTTAGAAGATCAAAAGCCAAAAATTAATTCTGTATTTGTCTTTGCATTTTAGCTGAGACCTCTTTCCTAGACCAAATAGTTTTATCTGTTAGTAGTGGGGTCTTTACATGGCTTTAGAGAGAGTTCAGGGCCCCCAAATCCATATATTTATAAAATTTCATCTAGTATCCTGTCACATATGTTCATAATAATTTCAATAACAATGCAACTAACTCCCCCTGGGAAAAGATGGATGTGATTAGACACTGTGGGTCCACTGGGTTAAGAACTGGAAGTCCAAGGCCCCAGGCTTTGTTCTTCCACTAATTAGATTCTTGGGCCTCATTTGCTTTCTCTGTAAACCCCTGGGGCTGCCTAGATGATCTCTAAAGCCCCTAGCACTCATATTCTATGAGTCTACAGGATTCTTTTGGAGCCAACTCATATAAACATTTTCAGAGAAAAGTGAGACCTTGGCTTCTAACAGGAACTGCTACAAACAACCCAGCCAGGTTCTTAAGCCTTTCCTTCCTCACTGAGATCCAGAAACACTGGATATATTTACAGCAATGTAGCAGCCCCGGGTTACATGGAAATGAAGGACAGGGGACTTGCAGAATGCTGAACAGCTGAGGATTATTGGGTTGAAATGGAGCAGCTGTAAACATGGTAGACTTGGGACATGGTGGAGAAGCACAACAGTTGTGGAGTTGGGGCAGGAGGAAGGAAATAAGCAGGCAAGTACCTGGGAAAGAAAGATGCAGTGTTCCTTCTCTGTTTGTGAAGCAGCAGGACACACAGCTTATCTGCAGCTAGGAGGGAAGGTCTCCCAGTCTGCAGTGATGGCGATTTCATCTCCAGCCACACAGGGCCCTGGGCCCTGAGGTCAGTAACCATGTTTCAATACCCAAAGGTCAGCCTCGACTCCACTGCATGGGGAGAGGTCACTTACTTATATATTTCATCATTAGGTTCTCTCTTTGTGAAAAAATGGTAATTCTTTACAGTAGGTTTGATCGTGTTCCCAGTTCTTTATGCTTTCTCTAAGTACATGAATTACGTACATGTCCTTGTGACTTGGAGGTTCCTTCCGCTCTCTTGGTACTGTTTACTTCCCTGCCTCACTGGTGCTGGGACAGGCCATGTTGGACTTGCTCTGACCAAAGAAATATGGGTGGAGAGGACAGTGTGCTCAGTGTCGGCCATCACATAATCTGGCTTGCCTTCTCATGTTACTGTGATCTTGCATTTCTGTGAGCTGAGATCATGAGCTCCATAATGTGAAGCAAACTTCAACAAGATCAGAAACCTGGATTCTAGCCTAGATCAGCCAAATCTCAGGCAACGGACATGAATGTGAAAATAAATGTTTATGATCATAAGCTATGGAGAGATTTAGGATTTTTTTCTTTTTTACATAGCAATAGTGCAACAATAGCTGGCTGATATATCTCTTGAGATTCTTCATTCACAACTTGCAAACCCAAAAGAGAAAGTCAGAGAAGAAAATAAGCACTGCTTTTGGCAAAGCAGGGAAGTTTTGAGGAATGTGGCTGTTACTCCATACTGCTCACAGTAAAGATAGCACTGTGCATACTTAAAACTCACCACTATCATCTTTTTTCCTCTTCCTGTAAGGACCACTGCTCAATCCATAGTCAGAAATATATAGAGCCGAGTCATGCTGTGTTATTACCCATGGCGTGCCTGGGTTTCTGAGTCCCTGGACAATTGTGCTAGAAACAGTGTTCATAGCATTGTTTATTGGGGAAGAAGTACACTGGTAACACCTGTAGCATTTTAGCTCTCCTCATGACTTTTATCATTTGATATTTGGATTCTGTAATATAAACAAGCTCTTTCCACCTTAATTGACCATGGGAAACAGGACTGATGTCTAACTTTATGACTTCATCCAATGCAAAGCTCTGCCACACAAGAGAGCCTAAAGCCAATCAATATATGTTGAATGAACCAAAGAATTAGAGAAAAATCTAAAAACAGTCCTTATTCAAATAGGAACTTTAAAAAAAGATCTCTTCTTCATACGTGGGTATCTGCCTTTTTAAATGGTCACAAGTTACCAAATCAGAAACAAATTAAGTCTGGTTCCCTGCCAGGAGTTTAACTGATGAACTCTGCAAGGGAGACTTCCCTGGAATGAGCCCCAGTGCACACCCTGCCTAAATTTTCCTCCTCTGGTATAAAAGTATTTTTTTTTCCATAGCCTAAACCTGTCCATCTTCTCTTCTCAGGGTCCTTTGCAAAACACATAGTCTCTTTTCTCTTAAAAAAAAAAAATCAAACACAATAGAATGGAGATTTTGACATGTGTGTGTGTCAGTGCCTGAAGGAGTTTGCTTGTCAACATCTGGAGGCTCATTTTGGCTGTCAGGCAATTCTGGCACTCGTGGCTCTCCTGTGGGCTGTGGCAGGAAGGGAGTCTGTGTTTATACCTTTAGAACACTAATAAAACCTCCTCTTTGACCGTATTTAGGAAGTGAGAATTATTCTGGCCAGGGACAGAGTAAGAGAAAAAGCACAAACAAGAGAAAGCTGTGAGAAATAAAACATGCTTGCATATGGACAGAAAACTGGAAGGATGGGCTCGAGGGACTAGCAGTGTTATCTCTGCAGAGGAACGTTGAAAGCTGGGTGAGAGGGAGTTGAGGGGCAGGGGAGGGGAAATGAAGGGGACAGACTTCCTCTGAGGACACACTTCAGTACAATTTGAAAAAAAGATATAATGCCATGTATTATTTTCGTAATATTAAAAAAAAACACTAAAAATAATGTGTGAGGAGAAAAGGAGATTTACAATTACGGAATGACTGTTAGGCCCGGGTAGGTCTGTGATCCAATGCGGAAAAGGAGAGAGAACGCGATGAAAAACCTTGAACTTTTTTAGAGAAATTTCATGTCCAAGTTGGAGTGTCCAATAAATAAAAATAGAAGGGCTAATTAGAGAAGAGGAAGTGTTTTTGAGTCCGGTGCCCAAAAAATGAAGTTCTGCTCCAGGAGACTCTGTGAACAGAATCTGGAGAAGCTACTAAGTCCACACAAGGACAGCTGCAAAAACATCTTTATGAAGTTTGGTGGGGAGACAGCGAAGACATCCCAACATGAAATCCAACGTGGAATTTTTAAAGACCATGTTTATTTGAAAAAAAAAGACCACAGCTGGAGCTAGAAGGAGACCAGAATACAACTCTAAAAGCTCAGACGAAACCAGTGGTTTTTTACTAGGGGCAATTTTCTCCCCAGGAGACATTAGGCAACGTCTGGAGACATTCTTGGTGGCACTTGGTGGCAGCACTGGCATCTAGTGGGTAGACTTCGCCCAACAAACAGGCCAGCACCCTCCACCCAAAAGAAGACTTGTTCAGCCGTCCAAACTGTCGAGAGTGCAGAGGCTGAGAAACCTGTGCTAAACTAACATGAAACTGAGGTTTAGTGAGATGTTAACACCTCACGCTGTGCAGGCCTTAGAGTTTACCCATTTGCCCCTCACCCTAAACCTTGAAGGAGGCAAGTTTATTTGCCTATAGGAGTTGAGGAAGTGGAAGTCCAGGGACTGCCCCAAGGTCACACAGCTGAAAATCTTTGGCCCTCGCTTCATGCTCTGTCACTGTGACAGACTCCATGTGACACACTGCAGTCAACTTCACACTGAATGGGTGAGTGACTATGTTCTATACTCCAGAAGGTGACTTGGGGAAGGGGGCAGCTGTTGAAGCAAAAAGTAGAAAGGTCTCAATTCCAGCTAAACAATTAGAAGAAACTGATGGAAAATTATTCAAATGTTATGAAATAGCTATAGTGCTTTTCTTTGGTAATGGTTCCTGGTCACATTTTGTTGTTGACCACAGGAGGACTTTTTGATATTACAAAGGTCTGGAAGTGCTTGGCTTGCTCAGGAAAGGGCGATCTCACGTGGTTAGGGAGTGCAGTGTGTAAGAGATGTGGTGGGCAACCCAGTTGGAAAGGAAGGCTGGGACAAGGTCCTGGAGATCAAGTGAGGACCAGAACTGGATTCTGTCGGCAATAAGGAACCCTGGGCATTTTTAAGGGCAGTAGTAACATGTCTTGACTGTTATTTTATATAAGTCTGCTCCATGAAGAACATTTTCTTTTAAATAACATTTATTCCTCCTGTCCTAGCATTGCCCTTGATGTTAGTGAGTTTTCACTGACAACTGGGTGCTTTGCTACAGTTTGGGTGAAATAGCTCACTGGGAAATGGGGGCCAATGAAAATATCACCCTGCTCAGCTCTGCTTTTGGGTGCCTGTTCAGTACATAGTAAGTGAAGTCATAGCACAAATTACTCATATGAGTGGCCTCATCTGACACTAACCCAAATAGTTATATTACCACAATTCTAAATTCAAATGAATCAAAATAGGCTACAGTGTGTTCAAAGGGTATCTAGTGTCATTTACACCTGCTAACTCCGGAACAGAGATCATCACCCTCAAAGGCATCAGAAAGGAAAGCATGTATTATTTATAGCACAATGTTGGTACCACACCAAATAAATTGCTGTCTTTTCCTTTTAATTACTTACAGTTCACACATTAATAGAAGATTTTTACTATTTCTCAGGTGATACATGCTCACCATAAAAACACTAAAAGATACAAATAAGTAGATGGCAGAAAAATAAGTGTCACCCACTCTATCTTTCCAGAGTCACTCTTTTGCAAGTTAATGAAGATAAGTTACAATTTTTTCCAGAGAATGATTCCAAAATCACAACTGTGTTTTCCTGTTTAAAAATGTAAAATTTCCATTTAAGTAAGTATAGGAACCTAATCTATCTTCCCAGTAACTGTTCATTCTTGGTGAAGTTTATGCCAATGCGATAACCTCTTGCTCTGGGAATATAATTGCCTCTACAGTAATATTTGGCCTTATGAAGAAAAAAAGAACACAACATTACTTCAAAAATTGTTTTTATCTTAACTAGTTAATTTAATGTTTCTAAATATTATCAGTCCCCAGGAAATTATGACATTGTGGATTATTTGTTCCCATAGAGCACACTTTTGTTTTAGCCCTGATAACTTCATTTCCATTTTTTTCCCCCCAAACAGGTTTAAGAGTCATTGCTGATTCTAAAAGAGAGACTTTGATCCTATGTTACTTCATGATTTAAATCTGGTAGAAATCATTAACAGCTTGCCGAGGCATGGAAACCCGGCAGGACAGTGATATTACAGCAGGGACTGAGATAGCACTTCTGGAGTTATTTCCCTTTTAAACATGCTAGTCATGGCATTTTTCACTCCTAAATTCCTCCTGTGGCTTCAAGGGAGATGCATCAGGATATTTTATTGTATTGAGATAACCACTGGCTGACCAAAGGTGGCTCTTGACCCAAAGCAATCCAGTGACCCACAATGTAGTGGGTCTGAGGGCTTTTGCCCTATACAGATGATAATGAATGAATCTAAATGTGTCTCTCTGAAATCTGGACTAAAGGACTCTTGGCTCTTTGGCCAGGTGGTGGGAGAAAGGAGAAGGACAGAACTCACAATCCTGGAGGTAGGCGAGGCCTGTGAGACAGACCATGCGGGTCAGTAAGTGCAGACAAGGAGAGAATGGGCCCTTAGCTGTGAGGTCCAACCATGTGTATTCTCATAATAACCCCCCTTTCTCTTAACATGGTCAGATGTCTTGTTTTTATTTTGAACAATCAGAACTGTTACATGCTTATTTTCATTTTAGTGTTCCCAGTGATTAGCATATACTTCACAGAAAGTAAGTCAATGTTTATGGAAATGAAATAGTTTTTCCTCTCAAACAATGATGTATTCAAGATCCTGGGAAAACTCCACATAAAATGTCATCATTTCAAAAGGCAATTTCAAGAGAATTAGAAGACAAAAACCTAGACTGGGAGAACATACTTATGAAAGATACAACTGATTAAAGACTGTTATCCAAGATACATAAAGAACTCATAAAACTCAACAATAAGAAATCAAACAACTCAATTAAAAAATAGGCCAAAGACCTTAACAGTCACCTCACCAAAGTAGATATACTGAATGGCACAAATCTGGAACATTGGTAATACCAAATGCTGGTGAGGATATAAATCAAAAAGAATATTTATTTATTGCTAGTAGGAATGCAAAGTGGTATAGCCACTTCTGAAGATAGCTTGGCAGTTTCTCACAAAATGAAACAAACTCTTACCATGTAAGATAAGAATCATGCTCCTTGCTATTTACCCAAAAGAGTTGAAAATGGATGTGCACACAAAAACCTCTGCACACAGATGTTTATAGCAGCTTTACTCATAATGGCCAACATTTGGAAGCAACCAAGATGTCCTTCAGTAGGTGAGTTAATCAACTATGACATATCCAGACTATGGAATATTATTCAGCACTAAAAAAAAAGGCTATCAAGCCCTAAAAAGACATGGAGGAAACTTAAATGCTTAATTCTATATGATTCCAATCATACGCCATTCTGTAAAAGGCAAAACTATGGAGACAGTAAAAGGATTGCAAGTTGCCAGGGTTTGGTGGCAGAACACTGAGTACTTCCAGGGCAGTGAAAGCACTGTCTTTGATACTCTCATAGCGGATTTATGTCACTGTACATTTGTCCAAACTCTAAAATGTACACCACCAAAAGTGAGCCCTGATGTAAACTATGGACTCTGGGTAATAATGATGTATCAATGTAGGTTGTTCAATCATAACAAATGTATCCCTCTGGTGGGGGATGTTTCCATGGGGAAACTATGCATGTGTGGGGACAGGGGTATACAGGAAATCTCTGCATCTCCTTAATTTTGCTGTGAATCTAAAACTTCTTAAAAAAATAAAGTGTTTTTTTAAATACAAAAAAATCATGATTCCTGATCTTAAGGGATTTATTATGAGATATACACACAATATCAACAAGTAAAATAGTAATAATTTTAAGATGGTTAAGATAACATCTGTCATTTAGGATGCTTTGGCTTCAAGAAGCAGAAGACTTAACTTTCAACTGCTTAAGCAAAGAGCATCTCACATAACAAGAAGTCTAGAGGGAAGGCAGGTCCAGTGGTTCAGTAGCTCAAAGCCAGCATCAGTACCTGGGTCCTTCTATCTTTCTGCTCTGCCATCTTCCAAGTATTAACCTCTGTCCTGAGGTTTATTCCATCAGAGACGCTGATGGCTACCAAAGATCAAACTGTCACATAACAATCGAAATCTGATGCAGAGAATGCTTCTGAGTCCGTTATAAGGACAACTTCCCCAGAGACCCACCAGCTGACTTCCCTTCACATTTCATTGCCATTTTTATGTCACTCACTGGCAAGGGAAATGCAATTACCTTTATCAGTTTAGCCTAATCAAGAGTCACCCCTGCTAATACTGTATCATATAATTGAAATTTGCTTAGAGAGTAGGGCTTAAAAGTTCACACACATTCACGCAGTATAAATATAGGAAGTGGTGATAGATGCATTAATTAACTAGATGTGAAGAACCCTATGACAATGTGTACATATATCAAATCATCACAAGGTACGCTTTAAGTACCTTACAATTGTCAATTACACCTCAGTAAAGTTGAAAAAAAAAGGAGAGTCACCCCTGAGACATTAGACAGGCTCATGAGGCACATGGCCACCCAATACCTCAACAAAACTGGGGTCTGGTTAACAGGAAAGGGAGAATAAAATGACTCTTGATGAGCAACTAACAGTGTCTGCATATTGGCCAAAAAGGCAAATAAAAAAATTACTAATAAAATAAAATAGAGTACACATCAGAATTAAAGGTGGTAAGAAAAATCTAAATAAAATATAAAAGAAGAAAAAATTAAAAACATCATAGTTCTATGAGAAGAAGAAACTAAAGTCTGAGGAAAATTAAGATCTAACCGAAACATTAAATCCAGAGAACTAAATAGTGAAAAGATGAAATGACAAATTAAGACCAGCAATTCTCAAAGTATGGTTCTTAGACCAGCAACGCCACCATGACCTGGGAAATTGTTAGAAATGCCCATGACTGGGGACCCCCAGGGCTGCCCAATCAGAAACCCTGGGTGTGGGGCCCAGCAATCTATTTAAAGTTCTCCACGTGATTCTGACTAAATTTGAGATTCCAAAATAAAAATAGACATTTTAAAACATTAAGAATTGTAAAACTGAAAAGAGCAATAGGCCAAAAGGGCAAAATAAAAACCAGCACTTGGACCAATTTCAGGTTTAATGTCCTTGTGCTGGGTAGACAAAGCCCTCTGATCCCTTTGCTACCCCCTCCCCTCACGCTCCAGTCTATTTCCAACTGACCACCTATTTGGTTACCCACCAAAGCTAAAATCAGTGGTTCTCATCCTGGCTGCACTTTGGAAGCACCCAGAGAATATTTAAATAATTGACTATCTCCGATCCCACATCAAATCAGTTAAGTCAGAATCCCTGGGGATGCCGTCTTAAGAAATCCTTAGGTGACTGCATTGTAAGGCAGAGCTTTGAACCACTAGCTTAGAGCCTGTGGGCTGAGAGCTGAGGGTCAGAGAGATCTTGCTCTTGAGGGCTCCCTTTGCTGCCCAGCTGCTGCTCACACCTCCCACAGGCTGGCAAGAGCTTACAGGGAAAGATGAAGCAAACACGTGTGCAGCTCATTGCTTTTCTCCAGCCAGTCTGCATGTACCTGCCC